TTTGAAATGTGTTCGGAGCTTATTTCAGTCTCCGTGTGTGTTCTGTTACTGGTACCAACGGACCCGTTGAAGTCGTGGACATAAAGTGAGAAAATTTGACACAATGTGTTCGACTGCAGCAAAAGACGGTGTCATCATTAAGATTCAATCAGCCTTTCGAGCACTTAGACGTCAACAAAAGTTGCACGAATGTTATCAAGGCAAGTTACGAATTGGTCATTGCAATTGTGAAGAGGGTTGTAATTTAGCCACAATACCTGGAAGATCGAAATATGGCATTAGAATCGCTCTTAATTTGAACACGTATTGTACGGAGAATTCAGCAGATGAAACAAAATTGAAACTTCTGTGCAGTAACGCACCAGTTTATATATAGTTAAACAAACACGCAGTGAGTTATGGTTTCAAACGTACAGTGCATACGGAGGAATGGCATTGGGAGTTTTTTTGCACCTAATGCCGCTATTTGAAAAACATGTTTTGCCTGTATAGATATTCAGAAATTGAGACAATAAAATATTTGCTTTCGAAAATCCTCTAGCAACCAGCAATCAGTTCCAGCTCAACACCATATCAGAATGTCTGCAAGCCGTCGAAAACATGAGACTTGGATTTTTAGCATAGAAAAACTTCCTGACAGAATAACATGCGAGTATGGGGATATAAATTACAGAGCACTCAACTCCGCACCCACACCTACACCTAATTAAGCACATATGCAATAATTGAGTTGAACTAATAACGATGTATGGCTTGATGTTTACATACTTTATCTCAATCTTTTAGGTATCTATTTGATTTTGACAAAAAAAAAACAAAATCATTATAGTTTATTTGCAAAGGATTTCGATTGGAATTCTTTTGAAAACTTTGTGAAGAATCACAGGAAAAGAATATGTAATGTTCGTATTAGATGACGTTCTGACATAAATACTAAGTTTTAATTAGTCTCTAACTATTGATGTCTGCAGTGAGTGCTTTGTAAAGTTAAGAGTTGATAACAAAAAAAGACAATCAAGCTACTTTTAGTATCAATACACTATTCAAGAAAATTTTTAACAAGAGATAATTGAATTTTTTATGGAGTGCATCATGCCCTAATTATAATTTTGAAAGATCAGTTAAACATTTGTACGAACAATGCTTAAGTTCTTTGATTTTCTTTCCTTTCAGGCGTTATCTGACTTTTGTCTTGGTTGTCTATTATTTGATTGACAATAAATAAATAATAGTAAAGTTAAAAACATAAATTTTATAAAGAAATATTTTATTTGAAATTTTTTATTTTATTAACTATACAAGTTTTCGGATACATGAAAAAAAATATACACTTTAACATTATGTTCGACCAGTATGGTTATTAATAAATCGTAATGCAAGATAGGCCAGTGTTCGAAATACAACAAACATTCCAAAAAGAACTAAAAAGTTCAACCCAATACTGATTCCAACATCAAAAAATTCTATTGCTTCATGACTAACAAATGTACCATTGTGATTGTTTCGACATGAAGGAATGATTGATCCATCGACACATTTGTAGATTCGTCCACCTTTAAATTCTAATTGAAGACATGCATCATAAGCATATTTAAAAAATGATAACCATTTTCCCCATACACCTAACCAATGTGGTAAATTTCGAACGAAAAATCCACCAACTAACATCAAACCAATGAGAAGTACAGTTGCAACTGTCATTGCATGTTGTAAATTTTTGAATGCTGCACCCAAAAGAAGACCAAGTGATTCAGCTACAAGAATTGATAGTAGTTGAAATACAAGAATAGCAAGAAAAATTCCAAAATTTGAATTGATATTTGCCATCCAATAAGCTATAATAAGAAATAATGTTGGTAAAACAAGTTTAAGTGGTGCTTCAGCTAATGATTTAGCAACAAAATACGATGATAAACGATATGATCCACTTGCACGTTCTTTTTCAATAATTGTACGTTCGAATGGAAATGATAATAAACCATGCATCATTGTTTGTAATGGCCAAAATGTCATAAGAAAAAATATGAATGATGACCGATCAGGTATTGTATTTTCCGAAAAATCCATTCTTAACCAACATAAACCACTAATAACTGCTAAACCTAAGGCTTGTGCAAAATTAAGAAATGTAAATTGACTTTTACCAGTTAATAGAAATGCACGTGAGAAAAGAATTAACATTTGTGGTAAAAATCCAATAGACCATTTACTTTCATATTTATTTGGTATTAAATTGACATTATCTGGATTAGTTAGATCAGCTTCATTTCCAGATGGTTCAGCTAATAAATATTGTCTTGCAGTTGATGAATATTGTGATTGTAATTGATTAGATATAGTGTTAATATTTCCAGTTATTTTATTTTGTAGATATGCTTCTTTCAGTTGTTCACGAATTTTCATATCTTGATTAACAAGATCCATAACATAATCAGCTGGATTGTATTGTGGTGGTGAATGATGACCCATTGTAGCAAAATAAGGTAATGCATCACATGGTTTACCCTAGAAAAAAGAAGAAGAAGGATGTGTTTTGATAGAACAAATGTATAATGAACTTTACCATAAAAATAGTTTTTCCATCTGCTAAAAGAATAAGTTGATCGAATGATTGAAAAATTTGAGATGATGGTTGATGAATAGATGTAATAATTGTTTTGCCTTGCATTGCTAGATCACGAAGAACATCTATCAATGCTACAGCTGATGTACTATCCAAGCCAGATGTTGGCTCTACATTAACATTAGAAAAATCATTTACAATCAAAAAATTCAAGAGTACAAATGGCTTACCATCAAGAAAAATAACACTTGGATTTGTTAATAATTCAGTACCAATATTTACACGTTTCTTTTCTCCACCAGATATTAACATTATTGGAGTATCAGCACATTTTCGAATTCTTAGTTGATCAATAATTTGTTCAACTTGTACTAGTTTATCTTGTTTAGATAAATTATTTGGTAATCGAAGTAAAGCTGTATATGTTAATTGTTGTTTAACAGTTAGTTTTTCAAAAAATAAATCTTGTTGAAGAACATAAGCTAGTTTTCTTTTCATACTTTTATCATATCGTTGATTGTTAAACCAAATATCACCAGTAACACCATTTAATGCTCGACCAGCTAATGTATTTAGTAATGTCGTTTTGCCACAACCTGATGGTCCCATAAGTGCAACTAATTCTCCTGGATGAATTTGTCCTGAAACTTGATCAAGTAATTTTCGTTGAATAAATCTTTCTTTAGATGAAGGATCAATCATTTTTGCAGGAACATTGATGAATTTCGAAACATTATGAAAAGTAACAGTAATACGTGGAGATAATGTTGCTAATGCTCGAGCACCATCAACTGACATTTGAACTTGTAATGTATCACCTCCACGTATTTCTATAACAAATTGAGTTTGTGAATCGTCGTTGGATTTCTTGGTGTCATCATAATGAACATTGGTGAATGTTTGATTGATACGTCCATTTGTTTCTTGAAGAGGAGGCATCTTGTTATTAATTGAGAAATATGTATATTTGTTTTATGGATAATAATATGAAGTAAGAGCATTGTATTTATACTATACTGATAACATAACGTACTTTACAAATGTAAAATAGGTAAGGTTGTATGTTTACTTGAGTAACGTATTCAAAGAACGTACTCTTCTGTCATTATTGATCGTTTTCTTTTTCTACTAGCAAAGCATAGAAGCTAGTGCAATGAGTCACAATACATCAATCATACTTTACGTTGTATAAAGATACTTTAAGTATGTACATTAGGCCATAACATTCGATTTGTTTATTGTGTACTGAAAGTTTAGACTTGTTTTTGTTATTTTATTTTAGTAAACAATACAATTCCAACACTCATCTGAGAGAGTAAAATGCTATTTATATAGTCTTCGATATTTGTCTGTTTGTGTCAATCAAACAATGATTCTAACAACATGATTCTCTTGTAATTTAAAGATCATACATATAAGTTGATGTAAGAAAATCCGATTAATTTTGAAGTGTTGATTTGAGGATGTGGGTGTGCCTCTTCTTTTCATTCACACACAATCTTTATTTAAAGTGTTTAAACGTTTGAGTTTTTCCTCATTACAACGTTGTTAAAATCAAAATTATATCAACTGTTACGACGCAAACATTTGAATATTTAAAAATAGTTAAAACGCGTGGAAAGAAAAATGATCTTTATAATACATTCATTTCTCGTTTCTGACTGGTTGTGCATTGAGTATTTCTATCAATCGTCTTGTTATTGATAGAGAATCTCTCATTAAAATATCACCTAAATCGTTAAGAATCAATTGTTAAACACTGTGGACGATCTTACTTTGTTCATAAAAAAAAACAAGTAAGGATGGGAAAAAAAGAGGTATGCGTTATATGTTTTTTTCTCCTTGAATTGCAGAAATAATCTTGATATATCGGTCACAAATTAAGCATTTGTTCTAATGACATCAATAAATTATAATATCGTCTTCGTGAGCCAGTCAGACATACAAGGAAAAAAAACACGTAAAAATCTACGCTATTAAGACTTCGTTTTCATTCAAGATGCTTAACGCATTTTTCTGCCTTTGATTTCTGAACGAAGTAAAATGTTAGAGAAAATCGACTTATCAATAGACTTAGTTGACTGAAAATACAGTTCAGATGAGTTTTTAGTTATTACGATCATGCTATTATCTTGTAGGATGTAGCGTATGGATGTGACTTAAGAGAGGGTGTTGGTGTAGAGTGTGAAAGTTGGTATGCAGTTCGGTTGTTAATTCATTCATATCTCCACACTCACACCCTCGCCATTGAAGACTCTTCTTTGGAATATTGTAGTACATTTTGTAAGGATTTACACTCTTGTTATTTTTTGAATTAAAAAGAAAGATACAATTCACTGACGTAGTAACGTCTAGAAAGATCTTATAAGTAGATAAGAAAAAACGTAAGGTTCTGCCGTAAGTAAAAATGTTGTTTTATACATCACCATGTTCGTCATCACTGTTTAACATCATCAGTAAGAAATTTAAACTCCTGATATTCATTACGATGAATAGCAGCCATAAACTTCATATATTCATTCAATGATACAGTACCATCTTCATTGAAATCCATAAATTTAAGGAGCGTCTTATCACTATTAGTATGGACCATTTGTATTTTCGCAAGTTTCAGACATTCTTGTATTTCGTCTAATGTAATTGAACCACTACGATTACGATCAAGTTTCATAAATAACTCGTACGCTTCCTGTGCTACGTCCGATGGTAAGCCATAGTGATTGCTCAGATCGTAAACTGCATTTGGTTCACTCATTTCTATTGAAACTCGTTTTCTTTGTTTAAACTAACAGCTACTGCTGCTTTACTTGTTCACTAGTATCTGAAAAAGAATGATTATCAAAGTACTCGAGGCTATAAGAAAAGAACGAGGAATTGTTGGTCAAAAAAATCGGCTCTAATACAAAAATCATTTGGGTTATAATTTCTTTCATAGAATTTATACTTCTCTCTGCCTTGTCACAGTAGATCTCTCCTAAAAATAGCATCATGGGATCTTTGTGCTAGCAAATAGACTTAATTGTAAAAGAGTTCATCAGGAGGTACAGAATGGTAAGAACAACATGTGTGAAAAAAAATGTTATCCTCGATATTTTCTAAAGACCATACTGTGGAAATAATATGATAATTGTATTCGCAGAACAATTGTGTGCATTTGATCTCACGAAGGAACGTCATCAATTGTCAGATCGCTTTTTAATCGACTATATGCTCGAGTTTGGTTTTTTCGGTCCTCTGAGCCGAGATGTACGACTATTACTATTCCTAGTTTTGTTGTAACAGTGGCTGAAGGTTCCAGAGTTTGAAGATAAATCATTGTTTCTTATTGAAGATATGAATCTGTTTGAGATTCTGATTGATAAATAAAAAAAAACAGCATGTGTTCTTGCTCAAACATACAAATATTCATTCATCGGATTTTAGTAAAGTGTGACTGATTTTCCCCAAAAAATTTTCGCGACAACTGTATATGTGAACTTATATTCAAGTTTACTTAAAGTCCAATATTTTACTTCAAACAGAGGTTTATCATCTTAAATCGTTTTCTTTATTTCAACAGTTTATAAATGGATGCTTTTTTTCTAACTCTTTTTCGACTACCACTAGTCATTTTCCATTTTCTTAAGTTGCTTCTATATCCAAACGCCATATGAATACTACAACAATATCCCCCTAGTTGATATAACCGAAATACACGTGTTATATTAATGTTTTTATTACAGTATTTCACCAGTGTCGTCTTTCAAAAATATCGAAAACAACATATTCATACACATTTTTTATGATTTTGAAGCTCTCGAACAGGTCTATCTGTCCTGAAAAATGACTCTTTCGCAATCAAGTTGACTTGTTAGTACAAGAATCCCATGATGTTATTTTTAGGAGAAACCTACAGTGATAAGGTTGAACGCTTCTCTTATTCACCATATTATAAAGTGTCTGAAAACATTGTCTTGCGAGTCGAGAGTAGTAAACTGTTGAAGAGAGAAGCATCAATCCTATGAAGTTATTACCTAAATGATTTAGTATTAGGATCATTTTGTGGACCAACCATCTCCCGTTGGTTATTGATCTTATTGAGATAGCATTGCAATTGAGCCGAATCAGAACAAAATTTTGAAGAATACATCGTCTGTGCTGCATATTTTGAGATTATTAACAGTAAAAAAACATGGTAAATAATATTGTTACAAAAGTACTTTTACAAGTGGCGAGTATCTGCTTGATGTTTTTTTTTTCATCCATATGTACATGTAAATAGGCAGGAACATTAATGTTGATTGCATGTGTCGTTGTAGCGAAACGGTGGGTAAATGAAGTCTACACAGAGAGGAAGAAAATAGCCACTATTTAAATGTAAGATTACTTGTTTTCATTGATTTCTTTTTATCATATTTCGTTATTGTCATGTTGTTTACTAACACTCAAGCAAGAACATTTTTTCATTTATCATATCACTATCATGATAGCAAAATATGAGTGTATAGGTGAGGTTGATGAATTTTTTCTTTTAGAATAGATGAGCGTTGGGTTGTAGGGCTGTATGTCAGTGTAGATATTGCCTTTACCCACACCCAAAATAATAAATTAAAATAAAATAAATTGAACTTGTAGAAATTTTTTTATGCATGAAACATCATACGAGAAAATGAGTCAATCATGAAATATATTCTTCATTTCATAGGATAAAATTAATTTGTATTATTGATTTTCTTTTGCTATTCTTTAACATTAATGATTTTTTATTTTGACTGTCACATATTGAGTGTACTTTTTTCTATATGTAGAACAGATGAGTAAATCTAATCCTATAGTTGTTTTATACTGTTATTTTCATTTTATGCTATGTCTTGATAAGTATATAGACGATTAAAACCATTTTTTAAATTCTTGAAAGAAATTGAATTTAAAAAAATTTCTTGAAGAAGAAAATATTTTTATTAAAAACAAAAAAAAAAAAGATATCGTCATGTATCAGTAATTCCACTTCGTTTCTCTTTAATATTTGATGTGATTGTAGCAGAGAGCAAAATTGCATAACAAAAAAACAACAAGAAAGTTGATATCAATATACGTTTCAAAAATATAAATATTGAACTTTTTAGTTTTTTATAATTTATGTTATGATCTCGTTATTAAGTTGTTTTTTTCTTCAGAATCGTCAACTATTTTATTGAAAATTGAATTTCTTTCAGTTTTTATAGCTAATCATCATAATTGTTATTGATTCTTCTAATAGTTTGTAGTGCCATTTTGATTTTATGTTGATCGATCATATCCGAACATTTGAATTTCGAAAAAAATGTCTATGATCGCGCGAACCTGCTGAGTGTAAATAAAGTGTCAGCTCTATTAATAGCCTTCTTATTAGCAAAGTTGATATTAGAGAATTAACGCTTGTCAAAACAATAATGAATTACTTTACATTTGAGACTCTTGAAAAAATTTGTTTTGATCAGGTTACTGTAATTATGTCTGTTTCGTTTCTTTGAACAGCTATTGATCATGTTCTTTCAGGTTAATCAATTACTCAATATACTAGATCATATGTCTTTACTATAGATGTGTGAACTAAGCCTAGACTAATTGATGTATCTGAAACTTAATCAAGATTATCTCAATTGGTAGAGGTTACTTCAAAGATATATATATTTTTTTATTGAATGGATAATTATTGATCATACTACACCATAAAAGTCATGTTTTCTTTGAATTTCCTGCATATGATAAATTTCATTCTTACAATATTCTATTCGTATTAAACAATAAAGATATTCCACGCAAAACAAAATATGTTCTTTTTAATTTCGAATTTATAGAATATGTTTAAAAATGAATAAAATCATTTGTGATGGTTCATTATTGAAGAAATCGATTATTAATCTACTATGAACAAGTTTTGTTTATATGAACATTATGTTGATTATTTAATATCAAATATTGTTGATATTTTTTGATGGCATTTAACTGAGTTTTAATCATAGATATTCCATAAATTAATTTGATTAAATTGTAAATTTCTGATAAAATCAAATTATTTCTATTTAGTTTTATCGTATTTAGATGTTCTTCGTATAGAGTCTTGAATTTTTCCAATCTATTGAGCAATTTTCTATTTAAATTATTCATAGTTTGTGTCTCACATATAATTTTTTCTTCATTGATTATTCTATTGATATTACTAAGAAATAGATCTTCTTTCGTATTCGGAGATGTTTTCATTAAATAGTAAGATAATTTTGTACATATTTCATAAATACCATCACATTGATGTTGTAAATCATCCATTGATTCATCAACTTTCTGGTTAAGAAATTCATAATTGAGTGTATATTCAATTGGTTTTTGTTCATGTGATGTACACTAGAAATACACAAATAAATCAAAAACAAATATTCAATGAGATCTTTTAAGAATTTTCATTATACGTAACTTACCGTGCCCAATGAATGATGCACATAATCTGGCATTATCCAAATATTTCCATAATTCTCAGGATGACGATTGTATGCATAGCAGATCATTGTAGGTTGTTTCATATGTGTTGCTTTTAGTTGAATGGATGCATTGTGCTTATACAAAATCATATTTCGCTGATGATTTCGCAAAGTTTCTAATATTGGACGAATTATGTTTTTAATTTGAAATTGAACATGTTTAATTGATTGCCATTCATTATTTTGACGATATGAATATTGATTACAAAGAAAATCACGAAAACGTTTCGATTCATCAACTGATTTTAACCAACTTTGTTCAAATTCATTTCTTTCATTGGGATCAAACTTAATTGAATTTTGTATTGCAACTAGATATCGAAATGCTTCACTATCGAAACAAAATGTATTCATTTTCTTAAAAGGAATATTCTTTATAGGAAATGAGTCGAAGAATGTTTCTAATAATGTTCGTGTGTTACCTGGAGCAAAGAATGTTGAACGAGCATTAGTAAAACAAAATATAAAATAATCACGAATATTTTCACCAAAATAATCAAATAATTGAGTACAACAAGAATGAAAATAAGGATGTAATTCTATAATTTCAGGTTTAAATAAAAGACATATACCATTTAGATAAGGAATATTATGAAGAAAAGAAAATATTTCTTCCATATTAAGATTATCTTGCTTATTACCACGTGTATCACCAAAACCAGGTGTATCAATAATACATAATTTTTTTTCATTAGAAATATTAAAAACATAAGATTTACATTTTTGAGTTACTGATTGACCTATATCATTATAATTTTCATTTGAATCAATATCACCAAATTTGATTATTTTTTCATCAAAATTATCATTAATTGTCATTATAAATGAAACAGGTATGATAACAATTGGTTTTCCTTGTTGAGCTTTGTCAAGAGTTTGAAAATGAAGATAATTAGCAAAAGCATTAATGAAAGTTGATTTACCAACACCCGATTCGCCAAGAAGAAGTATATTAACAAACTTCTTAGCTGACGATGGTGGAAATGTTGGAGAAGGAAATTTTCTTTTCGCATCACTTTCAGATGATTGAAAATTCGATAGGTTTTGATTTGCTCTCATATCTTTCGATAAGGCAATAGTCATCTTTTTTAATGTATATGTTGAATAAGTGAAATCAGCATAGACAAGGCGTAGTTGACGATTCTTTTTACGTTCTTCGCTTATTTCAGAATATAATTCAATCCAAGTTTGTTTATCATTATCTCTAAATTTATCGTTTGAAAGAAATATAACTTTGTTGGAATCATTACCAATAAGTATATCTTGAATTTGACTTCGTTCTAATCTATCTTCAATGCCTAGATTTGCAACATTACAGTATTCAAATCCATCGTTTTGTAAATTCTTAATGAATTCACCTTTCGATTCCAATTTCTCAAGAATTTTAGTTAATTTTTGTATAGAATTGCTGATTGTTGTTTGTGAATATAATTCGGTTAGTTTATCAATAGAAATCTGTACATTAATTCCTTTGCGAATTTCTATGACTAATTCACGAATTTGTTGAAGTTGTTGTTCATGCATTTCATTTATTTCTCGAAGATATTTATGAGCCTCTTTCAACTTTTTTTCTAGTTTATCTTGTAATAGATCAGGTAATTCATGATTAAGACGTAAATGTAATAGTTTAAGTTCATTGAATTGTTGAAGTAAATAGAATTCTAACGCTTCCGCAGCAGACTGATCAACTAACTTGAATGTTACTTTATCTTCACTACATTCAGGATATAAAGTTTTGATCGGATACAGAATGTAGTTTAATCGCTGATGTTCATTTCGAACTTTCTTTAATTTGAATATTTTCCGATACACATCAACTAATTTCGTTAATTTCGTAAACTCATCTATATTCGAATAGACTGTTGTTGATATGATATTATCACATAAATCTTTTTCATCTTCATCCATGTTCATCGCATGTGTATCATGTGTTAAAGAGATACATATTTTTTCAAGTATGGAGTCAATCTTTATAGCTTGATCAGGTGCTAATTGCAGCACAATAACAATATTTATACCCCAGTCAACTTCAGTGATAATATGTGTAGCAAATGTTTTAGAAAATGACGGTGTTTGTAAGTTGTCCAAGTTGTCTTGACACGATTCCGTGTATGTTCTCTGATGAAAATATAAGAAACGAGTATATTTATCAATGCGTCGAGGATAATTAATCAATGAAGCAATTTCATTCACTGGAACCAGCTTTAGGTATATACTCAATCGTAATTCAGCGTCGAATTTCATCAATGCAAGTAGATTTTGACTTTCAGGCGTACGACCCTCGATTAATAAGCATGTTGGTGATTCTTTACATGAAATAAATTTTGTCGTGAAGTTACCAATTAGTTTTCCTTTTACAGTATCTCGATATCCATCATAAAATGATCTAAGAGTACCAGATTTATCAATAGCAACACGTTCCATAGTCAGTGCCATTCTTTTATTAACATCGGAACATAATTGATATGAGTTTCGTATCGATACCAAAAATTCTTTTTTTGTCGTTATATAATTATTTAATTGATGTTAATCGGCTAAAACAATAATATTAAATCGAATAGATATACGCTTATAACAATTAATCAAAAGAAAATCAGGATCAATCTATTCTTTATACAATAGAATACTTCGAGTTTGAAAGATAAATGTGTTTCTGTTTAGATGAAGAAGTTAAATCCTCTAGTAGAGTGAGAATCACGAAAATAGAATTGATAAAATAAATAATGCACGAGAATACCGATTCCTAGAATTTTTAAAGACTAATAATTTGAAAACATAGTTAAAGAATCATAAAAAGCTGTTATTCCCAACTTGATTAGGTATTGAAACAAAACATTTGAGTGTCATCCACGTGAATTAAACGTATTATATTTATCGATGTTAAAAATAACTCATTCAATTAGTTCGTTAGTACCTATCATCAATGTGCATTTCGTTATAAAGTATCACGAAATTTAAAAAAAAAACTGTCTCACCATAGAATTCAACACTTTCACATCTTACTTGGTAAATAACAAGGTTTGCTTAGTTGCTGTTTTTTCTCTTCAAACACGTGTAATCGACTCAGCGAAATTCAACTGACAACAAAAGAACAAGAAAAAACATTGTGGATCTTTGATCGTAAAAAAAGAAACATTTCATTTCCGAGACAGAAACGAAAATTTGTATAAGAATAAAAGAAAAAAAATACTTCGTTTAAGATAAATAAAAATGTCTTTCAATTATTGCAGTCGAAGTACGTCAAAAATAGATATATATTATGTTTAAGTGATAGACCAGATGCTGAAAACATTCGAAATGTTGATCAGAAAGCAAGAAATTTTGAACAAAACTGAATATTTATTTTTGTTCTTATTTTAAAAATTTTATTAAGATATTTACATTTGAATGCAAAAGATAATATTATGTTTGTATATACAGATTCACAATCAACATTTTATCGATCCCGTAAAGCTACATTAATATTAAAAGCTCTTCTTAGAGAATATCATGAAAAGACTGATGTTGAATTTCCATTTACTTGAGAAAATAATGAATGAATCAGGATAGATTAGACTATTTGTATTTTGAATAGTCCTCTTCTATTCTTCATTAGACTCCGACTTTTTTTTTAACTATCATTTGATAAAAAGATATGTTAATCGAGCGAAGAACGCAAAAGAAATATTACAAACCCAAGCAAACTAATTTATTTTGGCTCATCCTATATGTAAATGAATCATGTATTTTATCGTAGTAATTTGATTTTCAGATCTTTTTCTTTGTGATCTTATTACAAGTAAGAAATATCTCTTTCAAATATCAATATCACTCTTTACTAAATAAAAGATTTCAAGGATTATTTTTTTTTTCAAAGCTTTATTTGATAAAATTAATATAGTTCAAATTTTCTTGTTGATTAAAGTTTCTCGATTGTTCAATATAATTATACACTTGAAAATATCGAAAGAAAGTATCATCATTCAAATTCAGCTTCGATTAAAAATTTTTCGTTTCTATTGATTTTTTTAATACAAGAGATTCATACAATATTGAAAAATATTAGTTGAATTAATAAAGTAGATATCTCTAACATTTCAATTTTACAAAAAAAAAACTTTATGATATATAATCTGTTTTTGATAAACATAAGGACAAAAATTATTGCCAAAATTTTGTTCAAATATTCTTTTTAGTGAACGTGACATTTAGTTTATATTTAAAATATTTTGCAAATTAGTTCAATGTTTTTTATGAATTTTGTCAATTCCATTATTGACTGAACCTTTCGACACCTGTTTTTCATGTTCATTCATATAGATATCTTCCGTTTGTTTCATCATTGATAATTGTTCATTAATTTCTCTCATTTCACGAGCATTTTTTATTAAACTGTATACGTTCATTAAACTTAAAGATTTTTGGTTTGACATTTTGACGGGCCATACTTTTTCATATTCATTTCTAAAGCTTTTTAGTTCATCATATAAATTTGCATTAAGAATATGATTTTCTTTGTATGAACAAATAGTTTTTTCTTCATTGATCATTCTACTCAGAACAGATAATAGGGGATCATTTTCTTTTGTCATATGAACAAGATACTTATAAAAATAAGCAAATTGGATAATTATATGTTTCAATTGATCTAAATTGGTCTTCATCTCATCAAGAGATGGTTTTTGTTTCTTTTCGTACGGTTCATACTTAAGTATATAATTTGCTTTAGAATGTCGTGACAAATCACACTGACATCGGTCACATCGATCTGAAAGAATATGTAGTTCATCTCGCAAAATCCAAATGTCATCATATTTTATAATCGAACGCTTGCATTCCATGCAGATATATGAATTAGTATTAACAGAACTTGGACATAATCTTATTAATGATTTAGATGAACTCTTATTCAGTAATATCATATTTCGTATTGTATTTTTTATTGTTTCCAATAAAGGTCGACTCATTCGATTGATTTGAAATTGAGCATGTTCAATGGATGTCCAATCCTTTTGTAAAGAAGGCTTCAGTTCTTTACAAACATATTGCATAAGACGATTTGTTTCGTTCACTGAAGTTACCCAACTGTGTTGGTATTCTTCTTTTTGATAATCATCGAATTCGATGTTTTTTTTACAGGCAACTAAATATCGAAATGATTCATTGTCAAAACAAAATGTATTTGTTTTTTTAAATAGAATATCCTTAAATGAACATGACGCAAGCATTGATTTGAGTAAAGGTCCAGTATTACCAGGTGCAAAGAATGTTCCTCGAGTATTAGTGAAACAAAAAATTATATTATGATGAACAGATTCACCTAGAAAGCTTAATAATCGATTAAAGTATGAATGTAAAACAACATTTAGTTTTGATTCATTAGGTTTAAGAAGTATACAAATAGCATTTAAATGTGATAGATTAGTAATAAATGATATTATATGTTCCATGTTGAGATCATCTTGATCAAGTCCACGAGTATCTCCCATTCCAGGTGTATCAATTAGTCTTACTTTCGTTCGACTATCAATAGTAAAAACATATGATCTACAATGTTGAGTTACTGATTGACCTGGATGATGATGATTCTCATTGGGATCTTCATCACCAAATCGAATGATTTTTTCTTCAAATTTATCACCAACTGTCATAAGAAATGAAACAGGCATTAGTACAATAGGTTCACTAGAACGAGCTTTTTGAAGAGTGTCAAAGTTAAAGTAATTGACAATGGCATTGACGAATGTTGATTTTCCAACACCAGATTCACCTAGAAGAAGTACATTAATAATATTGTTTCTTGATAAATTTGATTCATTAGGATGTTTTGTTTTGGATGATGATGGCGTAGAGTTTAAAGTTGATTCTGCTCGTGAAGCCTTTCGCAGTTGGTCAATTTCTTTCGATGGTAGGATTTCCATTTGTGATAATTGACATGAACAGTAGGAAAAATCAGCATAAACGAGTTCTAGTTTAGAATTATTTTTGCGTTCATTAATTAATTGAGTATAGAAAGCATTCCAATTTGATGAATTTAGCTTTTCTAATTTCTCATCAAAACAATAAATGAATTTCTTTTCGTTGTCATGCACAATCTGTGTCTTAATTCTTTTCAAATTGTTATCATCTTTCGTGAGACCTTCTTTCACATTGAGATATTCGATGTCTTGTTTCATCAAATTGTCGATTAACTGTGCTTTTTCTCTAAATGTATTACAGAGTTTAATAACATCACTGATTGCCTTTAACAATGTTTCATCTTCTGTATCGATCAATGGTTTAGACAGTGGATCTTGTTTAATGTCTCCGTTGCGAATTTGTAAAATTAAATTTTTCTTTTGTTCTACTCTTACGTGATAGAGTTCGGCAACAGTAGAGTTTTGTTGTCGAAATTCCTCATATGCTTGCATAAGATATTTTTCAAGCAATTGTTTTTCTTCAATATTGAGTGATATGTTCCATTTTCTTCTACGTAACGATAACTGATGCAAGTATGGTTCTATTTGATCCATGTATTGTTGATTGAGTGGAACAAATCTTGCCTTTTCTATCGGGTATGATGGACAAAAGTGTCTAATTGGTTGAAGAGTGTATTCTATTGGACGATGTTGTGAAAAATCTGATTTTATATCAGTTAGTTTTTGACAAACATCAGCTAATTTTTTTAATCTAGCAATATCAGGTATATTGGAAAAAACTTTTGTATGAGTAAATCGATTCTGTTCAGTTGTTGATATATCAAAAGTGTTTTCAGTCAGCTGTTCTTTTATTTTCTCAAGTAGTTGATCAAGATCAGATTGATCATTAGGTGATAATTGTAGTACAATCATAACATGAATTCCGTATTTAATTGTAGTGACAACGTGAGTTATATTAGTGTTAGCTATTAGTTTTTCAATATTTTTCGATTTAACAATAGTATGCTTATTATTCAACTGATTTTGTTTTGTCGGATAGTAATAAGAAAGGAATCTAGTATATTTATTGATTGTAAATGGATGTTTAATTGACGAAGATATTCCATCGGAATCTACTATTTTTAAGTATATGCTCAAGTATAATTCTTTATCAATACCAATTACATCAGATAACTTTTTGCCTTTTAGTTTACCAATATTTATTTCTGGATACGTCTCTGGTTTTTCTAATGTAGTCACAGCAGAACGAATATTCAATGCTGAAACTTTGAGTAAGAGATCCTGCCTTGCATCGTAAAGAGATCCAATAGTATCAGATTGATCGATAGGTATACGGTGTATTTCATCGCATGTGAATGAATTTACTTCATTATCAGAAGAGTCTTCAGAGGTTGTTATGCTTGATTGAGGAGGCTGCCGTTTTGATGATCTTGATCCCATTTGAACTACCGAATCAGTCAATGAAAAGTCTATTTAAACGATACTTGACGATATAATAAACCTAGGATTCTACAGATAAATTGCACGATTAAATAGAAAACAGGCTCAAAAAAATGTATTTATTTCTTTTCTATTTTTCTTCGATAAGTCATTTTAACTGCTTTGATCAATGGTGATATCAAGAGAAGAAAAACAACTTTCTATTTTCAACTATTCCCATTCAAAATGAGATAGAATAGTTTGTTTTTCGTATACAGATGATAACTTGTTATGTCATTTTCTGAATTCATATAAAATATTCTTCTACATTAAAATATAGGCTTTTCAGTTTGACTGAAAAAAAACTAATGAAATAAATGATTACTAACTTTCAGAATGCATAAATTGCAATTTCGAATTATTAATAAACACAAAAATATAAAAAATATATGAAGATAAAATAATACTTCTACACATGAAATTAATTGTTTTTCTGAGGTTTTCGCTAACAGTATCTTTGCCTTTTATTCTTAGCCTAAATCAATTACATACATAAACAATATAAAGATGGATATAATATAACATGATGTTTACTGAATTTGTGTACTCAAACCCCAACACAATAGCTATTAATGGGCTTACATCTTTAAGTATTTTGACAGGGATTTTTTTTTCTTAATGAAGAAGAAAACTATTTATTGTATAACGATAGATACTGATACTGTCGATTTCATCGAAAACATACTTTCCATACTAAAATAAAAATAATCTTTTTTTTATCATATGTACTTAGTCGAATTGAATGAATGTCACAATGAATTATTTCTTATTATGCAGATTTGGTTATACAAAATGTGAACATATTTTTTAGAAGGCTATAACTTTCCCTCGTGATTCAAATCGGACAAAAACCTTTCACAGAGACTAAAAACCGTCGCTATACTAGCGGTACTAAGAATCGATGTATAACATGGGTTGACATTTACGACAAGAAAACAAATATCATCAAGCACATAATTTCAACTCTTTTTTTCTATCAAAGTAATTCTCAATTGTCTATTTTACTTATGAGATGAGATATTCATATTGTTTTGAAAAGAACTGTGTTTAGTTTTGTTTTGATAATTTCTATTTAAATCTATCTTACTACAGTGGTGCAAGTCTTTCATAAGAATAATGTAATTATATTTCAAACAAGTTTTCTCTTTTCGAATTATTACTTGTGCTATGCCTTTTTTAAATTCAATTATTTACTGGCTGTCTCCTGTTCTCTAACAGAAGCATATTCTAGTACATTTTAAGAAATTAATCTATTTTCATATGACGCAATTAAACTTAGAAAAAATCAATTCTGAATTTTACAGTTTTTTACAGTTAACTTTCATTTATAATAGTAATGTATATAAATCTCACCTCTTTAGTCTGTTTTACTTACCTCTACAATCATATAAATATGCAAAGTCCTTTTTTTTTATCGCTGCATAAAGTTGTTTTCTTACAGATAAACTGTGACAGAAAGAAATAAAAATGTTGGAAGACAACTTTTATACCTTTGCAAGAGTTAACATCTGTGCAGAAATACAGATATGAGAACGAAATAAATTTTTGTAAAAAAAAAAAAAAAGAAAGAAAAAAAAGCAGGTGAGTTGGGAAGAAGAAATAAAAACTAAGACATTATGTAAACTTGTTCGAGTTTACAATTGTGTTTGATTTATACAATACACTCACATTTTTTCAGTTTGAGTCTAATAAAATATTGACGAAATTGATTTTTAATTCGATCAAGCTTTACTAATAATATCTGTCTCGTACACGTACAAACACGAAGCAAAGCCGATTCTCTGACTGAAAACGATCATAACATGATAAAGCCAACCACCAGCTCTGATCATAAAAAATCTTGTTTTCAAAGTCCTAACAATTTCTAACTAAAAACGATATTTTTCCGGCATATTCCCGTTAGAATCGTTGACCTAGGTATCAGTATTTTGATCATAATATTTTAATTATTCTGTTTCTTTTCAAGACGAAACTATATTTTCGTCAATATTTTTAGCATTGAATATTTCAGATACTTATTTTATCAGCTTTGAATTTTAACGCTGTCTACTTTACATCATAGAGTCTTATACCATGTACGAGAAGTACTGAAATGATTTTAAAATTTTCATCGTTCTCGGGAACAATAAGAATAAATATTTTGAAATGTTGCTGGATTATTGTACCAATTTAGTATTCGAGAGTTCTAATAATCGAAATTAACAGTTTTTACCTATGATTAAGAAATGGTAACAACATTATAATATGTTATATTTTTTTATCCATTTCTATATAAGAAGTAACATACATCGGATTATTTCTGTTCTTGTATTTGATGATTATTTTGACCTATGAATAATTTTAATCGTGCTAATATTTTATCTATGATTCGCTGACACAAAAGCAACATAAAATTTGTATGCATTTTTATCAAGTCTTTTCCAGCTGTTCGCTTTGTTTTTCATTTCATAAAATCAGCTAATTTCTTAAGTACAATTATTTACTGCTACAATTCGAACAAATTTCGCGCATCTGTCAGTAATCATTATATTTCTTTCGACTAATGGTATAACCAAAGGTGACTTAAGCTTGGCACCACCCTATCACAAGAAAGAAAAGTGTAACAATTACCATCATTGAGACTATATTGCATGAATTTTTTCTAAAAGAGTATAGTACTGTCCTATAACATACGATCTCCTAGCTATGCCACTACTTTCAAGAATAATAGTAACCATAAAAATATACTTTAGAAGAACAGGACATATTCTGTCGATAAATACTTTATTAAAGAGCCGTCAGAATAAAAATCCGTCTCATTATATTTGGACTGTAGAAAATTTTTTTCGGCAAATGAGTAGATTGTGCATCTAGAAGTATTTTGTAGTCGAATGTTGAAATCTCATAAAATATTCTACAGTAGTGAAGTACCTAAGAGTTTCTGTTACATATCGGTTAACAGAGTATCTTTGTGAGTACCCCGAGTTTAGTACATTCACTAGAACATGTAGTAATTGCTTGATACAATAATTGACTAAAGTGTCAAAACTTTTACTGTTTTTGAATATAGGAACAATAAGCTTCAAAAAGCATTTCAGTACTTCTTGAAGACAGTTATTTATTCTAGGACGACTTATTATCTTGATTTCCTTTCTCATTTGATGAACTTCTTTCAAAATGTTCTAGACTTTAACTTAAGAGTAAAATTGTGTTGATCATTAAAAGTAAACTGTCAAAAAATGGATCTGTCAGTAAATTTGACTCTCATTATGTGTACAGTTTTTCTAAAGAGTTTCCTATAGAAAGTCAACATCTTAATAGCAGAGACATCAGAAAAATAAAATCGATTGTTAATATGTTGATCAAATTTATTTACGTCTAAAATACTTTAAAAATGCACAAGTGTGTATTAAATAATAATCAATTCCTATGAGACTTCTTTTTCTTGTTCATTCATATATGTTCGATGATATTGTTTGATAACATCTATTTGTTTTTCAATCAGATCAATTCTACTTATTTGCTGAATTAATTTATAGATCTTTGCCAGATTGATTGAATTTTTATTTAATGTTGATACATCTTCTATTTGTTCATAGTTTTCTTTAAATTCATTGAGTTTTTTATGTAATATCAAATTAAGACTATTGTTGCCCTTTAATTCACAAATTTGATTTTCTTCTTCAATCATTTGATTTAAATAAGATATAATTGCATTATTAGATTTCAATGATTGAGTTGTAGCAATAAAAAAATATCTAAATTCTAAGATTGCCTGTTGGAGTTGATTCAATATTGATTTCATTTCATCAATAAATTGTCGATTTACATTATTTGAAAGTTCATAATCAAGTCTATAATTAACGTCAATATGTCTATTTCGACTACATTTGCAATTCAAACATTTAACTGAAAATATATGTAAATCATCAGGATAAATCCAAAATTCATTATAATCTTTAGGAACACGTTTGCATTTAATACAAATGGTCGAAGAATGAGATACAACAAATGGACAAAGTCTTATGAATAGTTTCGATGACTTTTCTTCATACAATATAAGATTACGAAGAATATTTCGAATTGTTTCTAATATTGGACGAATCATTTGATTGATTTGAAGTTGTGCATGATTGATTGATTTCCATTCAATATATGGATAAGCTTTTAATGTACCACAAATATAACTAAGAAGACGATTCGATGCAGTTACTGCATTTCTCCAACTTTTTTTATATTCTTCTTTTTGATAATCATCAAAATCAATTTTATTTTGAATAGCAATTAAATATCGAAATGATTCATTATCGAAACAAAATGTATTTGATTTATTAAATGGAATATGTTTAATAGGAAGATTAGCAAGTGTTTCTTTAAGTAAAGGAGCTGTATTACCTGGAGTAAAAAATGTTGCTCGAGTATTGGTAAAGCAAAATATAATATTATTACGAATATTTTCACCTAAAAAATCTGTCAATTGACTAAAATACGAACGAAAAACAATGTTTAATCGTGATTCATTTGGTTTAAGAAGTATACAAATAGCATTTAAATGTGATAGATTAGTAATAAATGATATTATATGTTCCATATTGAGATAATCTTGATCAAGTCCACGAGTATCTCCTGTTCCAGGTGTATCAATTAATCTTAGTTTCGTTCGAGTACCAACAGTAAAAACATATGATCTACAATGTTGAGTTACTGATTGACCTGGATGATGAAAATCTTCATTAGAATCTTCATTACCAAATCTAACAATTCGTTCTTCAAAATTATCTCCAACTGTTAGAAGAAATGAAACAGGGATAAGTACAATAGGTTGACCAGACTGAGCTTGTTCAAGTTTGTCAAATTTAAGATAATTGACAAGGGCATTGATAAACGTTGATTTACCAACACCAGATTCTCCAAGAAGAAGAACATTGATAAAATTATATTCGAAATGATTTGATTCATCGGATATATTGATTGGTATTCTG